CCTACAGCAGGGGTGGACAATGATTTGGGGTGGGGAGGCCACTCCAAGAGTTTGGTAAGTGGTCAAGGGCAACACTTGTCTAAGGAGAGAGTGCAGGGTCTGGGAGGGAGGTTGGCTGCAGAATTGGTCTGTGACCATATAATCAAGTAAACGGTTAATCGATAAGCCTGGATTTATCATTAACGTTCACGTTAACACGCAACTTCCCGTCCTACTCCTGGGCAGCTGGCTGCCACCCCACGCTGCTACCTCTATATCAGCTCAAAAGCCAGTTTCTAGCACATTATTGCTCCCTGGGAGCTGGCTACTGCTGTGGGGGGGTGTAACCTTGTAACAGCTGAGCTTTCCAGGGGTTATTCCTAGTGCAGAAGGGAGCCTGGAGTAGGGGATTAGAGTGCAGGGGAGGGTATGGGTCTGAGAGGAACTTTGGATAAAAGGGGGTTGTGACCCAGGGCAGGAGATTGGGGTGCAGGGTCCTGGAGGAGGTGGGGGTGCAGAAGGGGATTCTGGCCTGGGAGAGGGGTGTAAGACAGGCTGTAGGGTTTTGGAGGGATTTATGACCTGCAGGAGAAAGAGAACAGGGTGTTTAGGTGGTGATCTGGGGCAGGGAGGTGGATTTTGGGAGGGGTAAGATGCCAGATGCAAACTCTGGCCAGGAGGTGCTTACCTAGGTGGCTCCTGGCCAGCTGCCCAGTGGGGCCCTCAGGCAGGCCCTCTGCCTGCGGTAACCCCAGGCCGCTCACAGGGCCTGGCTGTTCCATGTGCTGCACATGGGGGAAGAGGGGACATTGCAAGCTGCCCCCACCCCCAGCCCAATCGCAGGCTGGATCCAAAGGTTTAGTGGGCCAGATCTTGCCCACCCCTGCTCTACAGCAAGGTGCTGGTGAACCAAGACCCGGCTCAGCTCCGTGGAGGCCTAGTGCCATGAGCCCTGCTGGAGCTGCAGCAACAGGCTCTGGAGGACGTTCCCCCCACCCCCACCCTAAAGAGCTAATGGACTATGATATACAGTAAAACCGTTATTATCCAGCACTCTGTTAACCAGAAAACTTTAACCGGCTTTGCTCCGACCCACAATGCTGCCACATCTTCAGGTGCACCTGGCTTGGTTTACTATGATTGGTTTAACAATTTTTTATTTAAGAAGTGCTCATCATCTTTAACTCAAAATAGATATGTGAGACCAACTGCCTCATACTACAAAACTATCAATATTAAAAACTTGGGTTTTACTATTATTGTCCATTGGTTTTTCCTAGGTTGATGAGACCAAAAATGGCGGCGCCGGCTTTATGCTAATGAAGCCCGGGAAATTCAAATCCCGGGCTTCATTAGCAAGTTCGGTATGCAGACATTACCCCCCTAGTTCGAACTAGGGTGGTAGTGTAGACATACCCTAGAAGAGAAAAAGCAAAAACAGAATGTCGGGCATCATTAGGATAGGGATAGAGAATAAAACAGGAAACATCAGATTCTCTCTACATAAATCAATGGTACGCCCACATAGTGAATACTGAATAGATGTGGTTCCCTCATCTCAAGAAAGATATTTTGGCATTGGAAAAGGTTCAGAAAAGGGAAAAAAAATTATGAGGGGTATGGAACAACTTCCATTGCAGGAGAGATTTAAAAAACTGGCACTTTTTACCTTGGAAAATAGCTGAGTAAGGGGGATATGATAGAGGTCTATAAAATTATGGCTGGTGGGAAAAGAGTGAATAAAGAAGTTATTTACTCCTTCTCCTAATACCAGAATGGAGGATTACAATATGAATTAATAGGTTGCAGGTTTGAAACAAATAAAAGGAAGTATTTCATCACACAATGCACCGTCAACCTGTGGAACTCCTTGCCAGAGGATGTTGTGAAGGTCAAGACTATACCAATGTTTAAAAAAAAGAACTAACTAAATTCATGGAGGACAAATCCATAAATGGCTATTAACCAGCATGGGCAGGAATGGTGTCCTTAGCCTTGTTTGTCAGAACCAGGAATGGACAACAGGGAAGGGAATCAGTGATTATCTGTTCCCCCTGAGACACCTACCATTGGTTTGACCCAGTATGGCTGTCCATACCTTCTTACACCTGAAAGTTGCGATAAAACATCCAGGAGTCTCTTAGGGTATGTCTACACTACAAAGTTAATTCGAACTAACGGACGTTAGTTCGAATTAACTATGATAGGTGCTACACTAGCGCTCCGCTAGTTCGAACTTAATTCGAACTAGCGGAGCGCTTAGTTCGAACTAGGTAAACCTCATTGTACGAGGACTAAGCCTAGTTCAAACTTACTAGTTTGAATTAAGGGGTGTGTAGCCCCTTAATTCGAACTAGTGGGAGGCTAGCCCTCCCCAGCTTTCCCTGGTGGCCACTCTGGCCAACACCAGGGAAACTCTATGCCCCCCTCCCGGCCCTGGACCTCTTAAAGGGGCACGGGCTGGCTACGGTGCCCGTGCCAGGTGCAAGCCTGCCAGCAACCAGCCAGCAGACCCTGCAACTGGCACAGCTCGAGCCAGCCACCCGATGCCCCCCAGCCCTCCCCCTCTTCCCGGGACCAGGCTGGTGGCTCCCGGGAGCTTGCCCGGGACCGCAAGAGGCGGGCACCCACCTAGTCTAGTGCAGACATCGT